GCTCTCCTCCAGTACTGGATAAGCTGCCGCACAGAGCAGGACTAAGAGAGTTCACTTTATTTAGTTTCTCCCAGAGAAAGCAAACAGGTGACTTGATCACGGCGCACAGATGACGAAAGTCTCTTTAATTTCACAAAGGCAGAACAAGGTCCAGTGGCTGCAAGGTGAAGTGAGACAAATCTAGGCTGGAAATAAGGAACTAATTAACCATTGGAACAATTTACTATATGCACGTGCAAACACACACATGCTAGCTCTCCTTTGCCCCCGCATGCCCCCTCCCCTCACTTGAGGCAGGGCTGCCCCCATGGGCTCCATGCCCCTTTCCCCCATAGGCCTTATTCCCCCTCCCCCCAGGCAGGGCTGCCCCATGACTCCCATCCTTCCTCCCTCACCTCACCCCAGGCAGTGCCTCTCCTACAGTCCCATCTACCCTGCCCCCTCCACAATGTGGCGCCATCCACACCCTCCGTTGCTCCCCCCACAAGGCGGGGGCTGCCCCTGTGACACTTCCTTCTGCACACTTCCCTGAAGAAAAGCCTCTTCCATTGTCCCTCTGCCCTACTCCCAGAGTCCTATCCCAAGCCTATCTGCCACACATGGCCCCTTCTCTACCCCACCCCCATAGCCCCATGCTCCCTCTGTCCCACCATAGTCCCGTCCCACACAATGGTGGGCAGCCCCCCCGTCCCCTACCCTTTGCGCAGGCAGCCCCCCATTTCCACTTTCTGGTATGGACAGCCCCCATGCCCACTCCCTGTCAAGAGCAGCCCTCATATCCCCACACCTGGCTCTGGAAGCCCCTTCCCTGCCCCCTAACATAGGAAGCCCCCATGCTCCATCCCTGCCAGGAGCAGCCCCCCCTGCACCTTGGCACAGTCAGTGCCTATTCTCCCCTTCTGGTGCCGTTAGCCCCCATTCCTCCTGTGATGGGTTCCCCCCAGGGTGCCACCTTGAACTGGGGTACCACTAAGCCCCCTGACCCACCAGCCTGGGCTCCCTTTTACACGGCACTACAAAGCCTTCCAGCCTCCACTTTCACCCTCATACACACAGGTAGGGACACACCCAGCTGCGGTTACATGCAGGCTCTCTGACCAGCCTCTGCATAGGAAAGCTACTCCCAGCTCCTTAGACACCCCTCCCCCCCCCCCGGAGTGTAAACACAAAATTATATCATCTCGTGCTGCACAGGGAACTCATACAATTCACCCCCTTCCTCAATGTGGAGAGAAATATGCAAAAGCCTTTTGCCCCTGAGTTATGATTTACACACACTGGCTTAGATCAGTGGTCTCCAAACTTTTTTGATCGCGCACCCCTATAGGTAAAAAAAATTTTGAGCACGCACCCCCTGCCGCGCCGAAGCAGAAAAAAAGCCGCTCGGCCTCCCGCGCCCGAACTGCCGAAGCAAAAAAACAAAAACAAAAAACCCACACCTCCTCCTGCTGTGCACCCCCAAAGATCCTCTTGCGCACCCCACTTTGGAGACCACTGGTTTAGATAAAGCAAAAATAAATGTATTAACTACAAAAGATAGATTTTTAAGTGATAGCAAACAGATCAAAGCAGATTACCTAGCAAATAAATAAATAAAGAGCAAACTAAACTTAATATATGAAATAGATTGGATATGAATTAGCAGATTCTCACCTAAGAAATGATACAAGCAGGTTGCAGATTCTTAAGGGGCTACAGCTTGGAACCCCCAGGTGTTCCATTCACAGGCTAAAAATCCCATTACATTTAAATTATAGAGATATCCCATCTCCCAGAACTGGAAGGGATCTTGAAAGGTCATAGAGTCCAGCCCGCTGCCTTCACTAGCAGGACCAAGTACTGATTTTTGCCCCAGATCCCTAAGTGGCCCCCTCAAGGATTGCACTCACAACCCTGGGTTTAGCAGGCCAATGCTCAAACCACTGAGCTATCCCTCTAGCACGTCCCCCTATTCAGTCTTTGTTCCTCAAGTGTTTCCAGGAGTCTTCTTGTGTGGGGCGTGAAGACCCCCTGATGAGGTCACTCCCTGCCTTATCTAGCTTTTGCATATGGAGGGGATCCTTTGTTCCCAAAGCTTGGTTGCCAGACCAGTCTATGGAAAAACACTGACATTCCAAGAGAGAGTCTAGAGACATGTAGTCTCATCACATGTCCTTGTAGAGTCATAGCAGCCGTTACACAGATGCTGTCTGTAGTTCTCAGGAAGGCTCCCCAGGTGGGAGAAAAGCTTCCCCTAAGGCCTATTGGTTTTTTTCCCTAATGGCTCGTTGCCCTGAATAGACCCTTCCCCACCCACTATCTAGACTGAAAGCATCTTGTCTAGCGGATGTTACCCAGGTGTAACTACATTTGAAATACAGATACAGAGTCAATATTCGTCATGAGTCTAAAAGTGACACATGCACACAAAGAGGATAATCCTATTCAGCAAATCATAACCTTCTCAATGACATCTCACATGATTATCTTGCATAAAATACATTATGATTATGTCCTAATCATATCACTGAGAGGAATACGGGGTGCAGTGTCAGCTCCCCGTCCTGGCACGGGCAGCCCAGGTCACACCATCTCGTTCTGTTTCAGTTTTGGGGTGAACCTGCGGTGCGGGAACGGGGACATCGCCTTCCACTTTAATCCGCGTTTCAACGAGGGCCGCCCGATGGTTGTATGCAACACCGAGCAGAACGGCAGTTGGGGCGCGGAGGAAAGGACCTACCACGTGCCCTTCCACCCGGGCATCTACTTCGAAGTGATCATCAACGTCAAGGGCCACTGCTATCAGGTGAGCACACGGCCCTCGCAGGACGGCAGCCGGGGTGGATACTCTGCGGCTGGCAGCACGGCCCATCAATGGACACTAGCTCCACAGGGGTGATGGAGGGGAAGCGGGTCCCCTTGCTGGGACAGGACACATCAGCGAGTACCAGTCTGTGGCCTTGAGGGGAGGCCAGTCCAGACCAGTCTGTGCTTCTGGGGTGCCTTGGTGGTGCCACTACATGATGCAGAGGAGGCAGTTTTGTATAATTTTGGTGGTGCCTAAGGCTCTGGGAGGGAGTTAGGGTGCGAGTGTGGGCTGGGGCACGGAGTTGAGGTGCAGGAGGGGGTGTGGGGAATAGGCTCTGGGAGGGAGTTAGGGTGGAGGGTCTGGGCTGGGGCCAGGGTGTTGGGGTACAGGGAGAGGTGCGGGGGTCGAGTTCTGGGAGGGAGTTTGGGTGCAGAGGGTGTGGGGTCTGGGCTGGGGTTTGGGTTGCAGGAGAGGGTGTGGGGTGCAGCGCTTACCTTGGGCGGCTCCCGGAAGTGACCCGCACCCCCATGTGGCAGCAGCTCCTAGGCGGGCACCTGGAGGGGTCTCCAGGTGCCGCTGCCCGCAGGCACCACCCCTGCAACGCCCAATGGCCACAGTTTGGGGCGGAGGCAGCACGCAGAGATATGCTCCTCTCCCCACAGGGGCCGCAGGGACGTGCCGGCTGCTTCTGGAAGTGGAGTGGGTGGGTGGTCAGGAAGCCACATTAGCCCCATTGCGCTGCTGGTGGTGGTGGTGGGGGCCCCCAGGCCCTTTTAAATTGCCTGGGGGCGGCAGGCGGGGCCGGGGGGGACGCTCCGGGGGGAGGCCCACGGGGGCGGCAGGCGGGGCTGGGGGTGATGCTCCAGGGGAGGCGGGCCCCTGTGCTCTCATATTGGTGGAGCACTGGCACCACGGGCCCATACAACTCGCCGCCCCTGAGTAAATGCTGCTTCGTGACTGGCCTCGAGATGACACAGAGGGATGTGAGAGGGAGACAGGATCAGGCCCTAAGCATTGATGGAGTTCGGCTGACACAGTGTTTGAGGGAGAGGGGAGAGACTTGCAGGAAGGGCTCGCCCCTGAGGTCTGTCTCTGCAGCCCTGCCGAGGGTGGGGCTAAGTCTTCCTCTGTCACAGGGGGAGATTTCCAAAGGCCCTGTCACAAGGTGGCTGGCCTCTTATGGGGGGGTCCCAGCCCCATGTGGGCAGCGTGTGACTCCTGCATTTGGAGAGGCTGGGCATGAGCACTGGAAGCTCCCTAGAGTAGGGAGGATACCGGTGCCTGGCCCCTGGCCCCTCTCCTCCCTGAGGCCCACCCCAGCTCCCCCTCCTCACCCCAGAGGGGGGCACCAGCTAACGGGGAGGACACGTGACCTCCCCTCATGTCTCCTCCCTGCGCCTCCTTCCCACCCCATGTTACCTCCAGGGGCGGAGGGCTCTTTCCTCCCTCTGTGCCAGCTCCCCCCTGGTGTGTTTGGCTGCCCTTCCTGGCAGCTAGGCCTGGGCGGGGAGTGGGCCGGAGCTGTTCCCAGTCACTGCTCCATACAGAGTAGCCAGCTGCGTGGGAGTAGGGTGACCAGACAGCAAGGGTGAAAAATCGGGACGGGGGTGGGGGGTAA